CTCAGGGTTCCCAATTGCAAAGGACTGCAAGTGAATACTGGGTGTTGTGTTGGAGACGGAGGCTGCTAAATAGTGGGTTGTGTTGAACAAGGACGTTGTTGAATACCAGGTGTTGTGTTGAACGCGGAAGCACGGCGGGCGCGCGGCGGGGGGCGGGCGGCGGACGGGATGGCGTCGGGCGGATCGGGATTTGAATAAAACTCCTCAATATCCTCTCTTGCAGCGGGATGCTGTTGAGCACAGGGTGTTGCGTTGGAGACGGAAGCTGTTGAGTAAAGGGTGTGGTGTTGGAGACGGACACTGTTGATTACTGGATGCTGTGTTGTACGCGGAAGCACGGCGGGCGGCCGGTGGGGGGCGGGCGGGCGGTCGGGCGGGCGGCGGGCGGGCGGATCGGGTTTTTAATAAAACTCCTAAGGGGGTCTCTCTTGCAACGGGATGCTGATGAATACTGGGTGTTCCGTTGGAGACGGAGGCCGCTGAGTACCCGGTACTGTGTTCGAGAGGGACGCTGTTGAGCACTGGGTGTTGTGCTGAGTGCGGAAGCCCGGCGAACGGGCGGCGGGGGGTGGGCGCGCGGCGTGTGGGCGGGCGGCGGGCGGATCGGCATTTGAACAAAACTCCTGGAAAATCTGTCTTGCAGCGGGATGCTGTCATGTACTGAGTGTTGCGTTGGAGACGGGAGCTTTTAAGTAATGGGTTTTGTATTGGAGACGGACGCTGATGAAAGCTGGGTGCTGTTGAACGATGAAGCGCGCCGGGCGGGCGGCGGGGGGCGGGCAGCGGACGGGCGGCGGTCGGGCGGGCGGATCGGAATTGTGATAGAATTCCCAAGGATTCTTTCTCTCTTGCTACGGGGTGTTGTTGACTACTGGGTGTTGTGTTGGAGACGGACGCTGTTGCGTACTGGGTGTTGTATTGAAGACGGACGTTGTTGAATACTGGATACTGCGTTGAACGCGGAAGCGCGGTGGCCGGGCGGCGGGGGGCGGGCGGCGGGCGGGCGGCGGGCGGGCGGCGGGCGGATCGGGATTTGAATCGAACTCCAAAATATTCTCTTTCGAAATGGGATGCTATTGAATACAACGTGTTGTGTTGGAGACGGAAGTCGTTGAGCACCCGGTGGTACTTTGTTAGAGACGGACATTGTTCAGTACTGGGCGTTGAATGAAAAACGGAATCACGGCGGGCCGGTGGCGATGACCGGGCGGCGGGCGGGCGGGAGCCGGGCGGATCGGGATTTCAACAAAACTCCTGAGGATTATCCCTTGCAGCGGGATGCTGCTGAGTACTGGGTGTTGCGTTGGATACGGAGGCTACTGAGTACCCAGAATAATGTTGGAGACGGACGCTGTTGAGTACTGGGTGTTGGTTTGAACGCGAAAAAACGGCGAACGGGCGGCGGGGGGCGGTTGGGAGGCGGGCAGATCGGGATTTGATTGGAACTCTTAAGGGGTCTCTCTTGCAGCGGGATGCTGTTGACTACTGGGTGTTGTGTTGGAGACGGGAGCTGCTGAGTACTGGAGACGGACGCTGTTGAAGACTGGATACTGTGTTGAAAACGGAAGCGCGGAGGGCGGGCGGCGGGGGGCGGGCGGCGGACGGGCGGCGGTCGGGCCGCGGTCGGGCGGGCGGCGGGGCGGGAGGCGGGCAGATCGGGACTTGAATAAAACTCCTGAGAATTATCTCTTGTAGCGGGATGCTGTTGAACACTCGGTGCTGCGTTGGACATGGAAACTGTCGATTACTTGGCGTTGTACTGGGGGCGGACACTGTTGGGTGCTGGGTGTTGTGTTGAACGCGGAAGCCCGGCGGGCGGGCGGCGGGGGGCGGGCGGTTGTCGGTCGGGCGGGCGGCGGGCGGATCGGGCGGGATTTGAATAGAACTCCTCAGGAGTCTCTCTTGCGCCGGGATGCTGTTGAGTGCTGGGTGCTGCGTTGGAGACGGGAGCTGTCGAGTACTGGGTGTTGTATTGGAAACGGACGCTGTTGGATACTGGGTGTTGCGTTGAACGCGCAAGCGCGGCGGGCGGGCGGCGGGGGGCGGGCGGCGGACGGGCGGGCGGCGGGCGGGCGGACTGGGACGGGATTTGAATAGAACTCCTCAGGAGTCCTTCTTGCAGCAAGATGGCGCCGAATACTGGGTGTTGCGTTGGAGACGGAAGCTGTTGAGTATTGGGTTTTGTGTTGGAGACGGACACTGTTGAGCACTGGGTGTTGTGTTGAACGCGGGGGCACGGCGGGCGGACGGCGGGCGGCGGGCTTCAAGAAAGCCTCCGATCGTGTCCGGCACGCGGGCGCGCGAAGCGAGTCGAACGCCGTGCAAGCTAGGGTGGGCCGCGCCGAAGCGAAAAGGAAAACAGCGAAGCGAGCGGCGCCCGGCTCAGAGCAAGAGTGGGCTCAACGCGGCCACAATGGCGCGGCTACTGGATGTACTTTTTTTGCTCACCGACCACTAGCGGAGGACGGCCGCGCGGCGTCAGTAGGTCGAACGAAAGCCAGGCCTGCGTGGAACAAGACAGAAGCCTCGACAACAGCTGGCAAGCGCGGAGCGGCAGCGACGCGGGGAACGACGAGGGGACGACGACAGAAGGGACCAAGACGGACGAGGACGACGGAGGGAGGGAGAAGCAGGGTACTAACGCAGCGCCGCTCAGAGGCGGGAGATCGAGCCCGGGAACGCCAGGAGCACGTCGTCCTCCAAGTACATGCGCAGCGAGAGGAGCCAGCGTGTATCCTGAATCCCGCATACACCAAATGCCAAGCGTCGAAGATCGTGAGCCCGCCAGGAACGAGCATGGAGTACCGCGACCATGAACTTGAGGCCAGAGGAACCAAACGTCGGCCCGCGCCAACGAAAAGCATGCCCAGGAAGAACACGGAAGCGCCGACCGCGGGCCGAACCGAAGTATCGGAAGCTGGCTCAAGCATTTCTGGATGGGCCCCTTCGTGTCTGGATGGGCTAATGGGGATATTTTTTAGTCAGCGGCCGCGGGCGAACGCGCCGGCGGCGAGTCCAGTCAAAGCGGGCCACGCAGCGACGAATTAACCTAAGGCGACGGAGGGAGGGCACACCTACAGCGGCCAACTGGAGCCCTCACGCAGCAGCCCAGCGGCGGACCGGCGGGTGGGGTGACAGATGAAACGGAGTTGAACTGCCAGCGCGCAAGTATGCAAAGCGTCGGACACCAGGGAGTCGGGACACACGACGACCTGGGCCAGAAACCAAAATTAATGTAAGGACGCAGCCCCGGACAACTGCGTGAGTACCAGGGTGGCCCGAAGGACCGTGGGTCAAAGAAAGAAAACCAGGAGGCGAAAGCGTTGGCAAGCTGCAAATCCCAGGGTCCAGAAAACCCATTGAAAACAAACCCGCGATTTAGTTTTTTTCCCCTGAGATCCCCCCCCCCCCCGGAAAACGCCAGGAAAAAAACCCGAGTTGAATTTGTTTCGGGAGCTTCCCTTGGGTTTTCAAAACATAAGTGTGCTTTTTAAGTGTGGGGCCCCAGAAGAAAAAATAATAACAACACATATAAATAAAAAACACAAACTATATGGGAGGTTTGTCTCTGAGGTTCCCCCCGGAAGAAACACCGAACATTTATGAATCAAAAACCAGAGTTGGAGGGTTTTTCCATGGGTTCCACCCGGAAAACCCAAGAAACAACAAGACAAATCACCGATGTTTTACTTGTTGTTGTTTTCCGGGGTTTGTCCGAGGGGGTCTTCAAACGTAAGATGGTTTTCAAGCGTGGGGCAGAAAAGCACCCGATACATACCAGAATTTTGTTCCCAACCATCCTATGGTGTTGGGTCCACGTTTTGAAGAGACAGCGCCCCGCGTCCCACCTTCCTCCTCCTTCCTCCTCCTTCCTCCTTCCTCCTCCTCCTCCTCCCCCTCCTCCTCCCGCTCCTCCCTCCTCCCCCTCTTCCCTGCGTTTCACCCACCCAGGGCAGCGCTTCGTAGCCCCATAGGGAGCTCCACCGAAGGCCCCAGTGGGGGTGCTCGCATGCGGTTCCCCCACCCAGGGCAGCGCTTCGTCGCCCCATAGGGAGCTCCACCGAAGGCCCCGGTGGGGGTGCCTGCATGCGGTTCCCCCACCCAGGGCAGCGCTTCGTAGCCCCGTAGGGAGCTCCACCGAAGGCCCCAGTGGGGGTGCCCGCATGCGGTTCCCCCACCCAAGGCAGCGTTTCGTAGCCCTATAGGGAGCTCCACCGAAGGCCCCAGTGGGGGATCTCCACCGAAGGCCCCAGTGGGGGTGCCCGCATGCTGTTCCGCCACCCAGGGCAGCGTTTCGTACCCCCATGGGGAGCTCCACCGAAGGCCCCACTGGGGGTGTTCGCATGCGATCTCCCCTACCCAGGACAGCGCTTCGTGGCCCCATAGGGAGCTCCACCGAAGGTGCCAGAGGCGCAGTTCGCATGCGTCTCCCCCGCCCATGACAGCGCTTCGTGGCCCCATAAGGAGCTCCAGCGAAGGTCCCAATGGCGCAGTTCGCATGCGTCTCCCTCGCCGAGGGCAGCGTTTCGTGGCCCCATAGGGAGCTCCACCGAAGGCCCCAGTGGCGGTGTCCACATGCGTCCGCGCCACCAAATTCGGCGCACCCCTCACAAGTTTCGTGGCCCCATAGGAGCTTCACCGAAACCGGTACCCACAATGCGGTACTCGCAACTGCATTTGGTTGGGTCCTTCGTCAAGCTATTTTTTTTTTTTGTTTTTCTGGGGTCTTCCGGTTGGTCTTAAGAAACAATTTAGTTGTTCATTGCGAGGCCGAGAAAAACCACCGGACAACCACAACCACCAATCTGGGGGGTTGTCCGGGGTTTCCCCCCCGGGTTAACCACCGAAAAGCAACAGAAAAACTCCCGAAATTATTTGTTGTTAGAGGTCCCCCGCCCAGAGAAGTTCCTAACAACCCCAGAACAACATCCGAAAAAAAAACCCAAAAAAATCTGGGATTCCCAGGGGGGCTCGACGAACTGCCACACCCAATTGAAGTCCTGGGCAGGACTCACCTGAAACAACTCCTCCTCCGTGGCGTTCCTCGCCCACCACCACGGGTAGTTCTCGTCCCAATTATGCCTCAAGATGCCCCGGATGTTCTCCATGGCCACGCGCCCGACGGTCGTCTGTCGAAGCCGCCGTCGCAACGCGGGCAACTCCTCTGGCGTGAAGAAGATGCGCGGGTGCACGTAAGCGGCGGGCGAGTCCTGGGATGGATGCTGCCCATCAGCGTGGCCCGCGTAATCTGGCTCCTCTGGCAGCTCGGGGAAGTAGGCCACCATGGTCCTGTTGTAGGCCCCACGCCAGAGCGGATTCATCGCTCCGCGGTGGGTGAAAGAAGCAGCGCCCTGGGTGTAGAGCACCTCCACCTCCTCGTTGCTCAGCACGAAGTCGAAGACGGCGATGTCGTCCACGAGGCCGTCGAAGCCGTAGCTGGGGTGGCCGCCGAAGATGCCGAGGGTGAGCGTGCTCGCAGCGTCCTGCTCGGTGCGGTTCGCCACGCCGCTCTCCATGGAGATTGGCTGGCCGTCCAGGTACGCCTTCCTTATGTCGGGGCCCGCCGCGGCGGCGTAGTGGTGCCAGACATCGGGGGTGAAGCCGGAGGGAAGCGGTGACGAGAAGCCGCCCTTGCTGATGAGGGTGAGCTTCGACGTCTTGTCCGTCTTGAACCAGAGGGCGGCGGACATGGCGGGCCACGGCGCGCCCGCTGGCTCTGCGTTGCCAAGGCTCAGCTGCACGCAGCTGTTCGGGCACGTCAGGCGCAGCGCGCCGCCGAATCTCCCGTCCTCGACGAAGGCATACTCAGCGGTCGGCCTTACCTGGACGAGCTCCGCATCCGAGCCACCAGGCAGAGCGCTCGAGAGGCTGCCGTCGAGTGGCCAGAGGCCTACAGGCGAAACGGGCAGCCCCTTGAACGGGAAGGGCTCGCCGGGCGGCAGAGACTCGGTGGTGTTTCCCACCTTCTCCTCGTGAGCGACGAACACGAGGAGGCCGGTTGTCGCACTGCGCGCATGTGCGCCGTCTGAGCAGCCAAGCCTAAGCAAATACTCGCCCACAGGCGCATCCGAGGCCATGTCGAACTGTGTGGAGGCACTGGACGCGTCGTGGATCGTGACTGCACTGACGTCGGGGCCCCGCACCACCTGCCACTCCGCGCGGGCCACGGCGCCGTCCTGGTCAACGCAGCTGCCTTCAAGCCAGCCGGAGACTGCGGGCTTCCACAACGTCAGCGCAGGCCCCGCGTCCACGCGGGGGGGCAGGTTCTCCCCCTCTGGAGTACCGTTGGTACTCTTCGCAGCAGCCAGTGCCATCACCTCAGAATCACCCAAGGCTGCACTGTAGAGGCGAAGCTCGTCCACGACCCCGAAGAAAGCGTTGTGCGGATGCCCAGTGCCGAGCAGAAACGCCACAGAGTCGAAGCCTGGCTCTGGCAAGTTGTGCTGAGTCGGCTCCCCGCTGCTTACTCCGTTGATGAAGAGACTGGCTTCGCTCGCGGACATGGTGACTGCAAGGTGATCCCAGTCAGTCCCGTGATGGCTGAGGTCCAGACTTGCCCCAAGCTCTACCGAAGTCCCGCCGACAGTGAACCTGGCGCGGACTGTCGAGCTGTGGAGATCGACCCACATGATGAAGAAATACTCGCCGCTGACCATTGCGCCCACCAACCTGTCGACTCTGATGAAGGTGCCTGGGTCTGGCTTCGCCCAGAACGAGATGGTCCTGAAGACCGGCACCGACTCCGCCCTGGCATGGCTGCGGCTTAAGATGCGCACTGCGCCGCTGGCGCCGAGCCCAGCATCCGGGATGACCTTCGGGCCGGGCTAAAGGGGGGGATAGCAAAGGGGGGGTTTAGGAATCAACTCACTAGCTGATTTTCCCGGCGCCTCTTCCCGGCGCCGGAGGCGGCCATGTATCGAGGAATGGGCCCCTCGGTGGGGCCGAAACCAGCTACATTCAGCAAATTTCGTACCCCCCCCTTTCCCTATCTCCCCCCTTCGTCCGGCCCGAGACCTCCGCGAATGGATACTGGAAGCCAGAATACCGGTGACTGACGAGAGCGTTACCGAAAGGCGAATCGTCGCGCCAGTGCCGGGTGCCAGCGGCGTCGTCGAAGCGCCAGTGACCCACGACGCTTCCCGAGGTCTGAGCGGTCAGCCTGCGGCTGCAGTCGCGAACTGTGGTGCTGGCCGCTGGGTCTGCGGATCCACAGGCCCACTCAATAGCAAGGTGCCAGCGCCCGCTGCTGCGAAAGACAGCGGGGGGCCCAGTGGACTGCAGCAGGAGCAGTAGCGCCGACAGCAGCAAGAGCAACACCAGCAACACAACACGCGACGAAAGTCTCGTGCCACTGCCCAAGATCGCCTGCTCTATCGACCGCATGTCGGGTCAGCATGACATCCATGACCTGTAGACTGCTCCCAACGACCACGGATTCGCTCGAGCCTTAACGGCTACGGACGCACTGCGGACCCCAAGGCACGGCTGCCTCGGCCTTCGCTTGACCTCCACCGAGGAGCGGCACAAGGAACGCTGGGGCAAAGCGAAGGAGAGGATGAGAACGACGTGGAGGGGAAGAAAGATGATATTAGATGTGTAAGCAGGTTTGGTTGGATACCATCAGGGCTGTGATGGAGGTCTACAGCAGGGAGTGCTTCAGAAGGGTTCTAGCTTCTAGCTTCAGGGTGGCTCCAGCAAGATTATATGAGAACTCTGAAGGGCCCTGGTCAGATTTTGGCGTGAGCTGTAAGCATCCGTAGTGGGAGTCATTCAGGGGGGAAGGCAAATGATGTAGGATTGTGCTAGCTGGCCGCTTTGCGATTGATCAGGAGCTTATGTATATAGAAGAATGGGCGTGCGTTTGTGGGCGAGGGGAGAATGTGCGGGCGGCGGTGGTGCGGCAGGCGAAGATGAGGAGGGAAAGGGTCAGAGGTCAAGATCGCGAGGAGAAGGATCGGGAGAGTGAGGGTCACGCGGGTGAGGATCAGGCGAGAGTGGAGCAGGGAGGGGTGGATGTGGAGAGTGAGGGTCAGGAGAGCGAGGAGGAGGAGAATGAAGATCAGCAAGGTAAGGATCGGGCGGGTGTGGAGCAGGAGAGGGGCCGTCCACACAGCTCGTGCCACATTGACTGCACCATAGTGCGCCCGGTGCGCCCCAGTGCGCCCTGGCAGATCCCCTGAAAGGGTCCAAGGGCTCCCAGCTTCGCGCTTCGCGCTGCGCGAAGCGCGAAGTGCGAATAACTTCGCGCTCTAGCGCCGCCTCCCAGGGGAGAAGAGGAGGAAGAGGAGGAATCGGAGCCGAACCGCGAAGCGCGAAGCGCGAATAACTTCGCGCCCTCGAGGGCGCCCTTGGGGTCCCTGGGGGCGCGGTGGGGCCGGACTGGCTCGCGCGCCGGGGAGCGACTCTGCGAGGACGTCTCGAGCGGGAGCACGGCCGGGACACGCCAGGTGCGATGACCCCGGACAGGATCCCTGGTTGACGCGGTGGTGCCTCTCGCGCGCCAGGGGTGAGGAGGACGCGAGCCACCGGAGCTGCCGCAAATGAGAGCTCCACGCAGCCTCGGTAGGATTCTTTTAGAGCTGCAGGCAGATCTTGCAAGTTATCTCAAAATTCTATGGGGCCCCAGTAGGGTCCTGTCAGATCTGTAGGCAGCTCTGGCTGGTTGTCATCAGAGCTGCAGGCAGCTCGAACAGGATTCTGTCTGAAGTGCAGGCAGCTGCAGTGGGATTCATTACGAACTGTAGGCAGCGGTGGTAGGATATTCGAGCTGTAGGGCGCCCTAGTAAGTGTCTGTTCAAGCTGCAGGGAGCTTTGGTGGGCTAGCGTGAGACCAGGTATGGATATCACGAATTACACGATGGCTGCGCAGAATGCACGAGCCAGCTTTACACAGTTACGTACGATGGGGGCCACGATGGGGGGGGGGGCACGATGGGGTACCATGTTAGGAATATGGATAGCGACGTGGAAACAGGGCTAGAGAAATCATAGTCTGGATACAGCGATAGGGGTACGGATCGGGATCTAGGATGGGGAAAGAAAAGGACAAGGACATGGACAGAGGCAGGGGGACGGGTAGATTGAGAGAACAGAGATCCGGGAAACGGACAGGGATCGGGGGATAGGAAGCGTAACGGGAGACAGCGAGGATAAGGATAGGGGACACGGATCGGCAGCGGGAGACGCCAGCAGCGGGAAACGGCGGGAGACCACGGGATCGCACTGGGGGGCCACGGGAGACGGCTGGAGACCCTGGGGGGGACGGCGTCGCCCCCGACCGACTCCGGATCGTGCAGCGCACCCGGGGAGAGAGCCCTGCAAGCTGCGGGCGGATTTTGGAGGACACATAACACATCGCCAAACAGAATCTAAAGCAGTCAAAGATAATCGAAAGCGATCCCAGAATACTCCTTGTACTATATTTGAGTATTCCGCCTGTAGAGGGACGTGCCCGACTTCAGAGACACGCCCGCTAGGGCCAGCGCTGGGATGTTATGGAAACTCGCAGAATTGATGTTTGAGGGCTAGCGCAGGCCAGCCACTTGTCTCCACCTTCGGAAGAGCCTGAAGAAAGACGCGTGAACGAGGGAGAAGGACGAAACCGAGGCCGAGGGGAAAGCAGCGACGACCGAAAGCTGGTAGGATATTATCAGGGTTGTAGGCAGCTCGGGAAGGTATCTGCGCGAAGGAAAATGGCATATGCGGGATCACGATTCGGAGGAGGACGAAAAAGACGAGCAAGAGACAAGAAAGGAAGAACCGACCAAATGACCATCGGCCCCTGTCAACTCTACAATTCCCCTGCCCCCTGCCCACTCCGCAATCACCTGGACTCCTTCTCTCCTCCTACCACGGTCATGACCAGTGATCCTACATCCCCCGCCTCTTCTTACTCTCCATGGATCCTCTTCATTCTCATCACCACCCTCATCGTCATCCTCATCCCCATACCCAATCTCACCCTCATTCGCAGCATCATCGCCGTCGTCATCGTCGCCGTGTGCATCATCACCAGCAACAGCAACATCATCATCAGCACCATCCCAATACTGATCATTTGGACTACCTGACTTCGGCCATGCGCATCACCCTCCCCCCCTCTGGTACACGACGCGCGATGATCTGCGCGCCCTCGCGCCCTCGCGCTGCCATATTGGAAGAGGGCGTCTGCGCTGACCTAGACCGCAGGGCGCGAAGCGCGATTATTTCGCGCCCACGGAGCGAACTAGGTAAGCATCGTCATCACCAGCATCACCTTTGCTATCGCCATCACCATCACCATCACATCATCAACATCATCAACAGCCTCGCCATCATCGTCTTCGCCGTCACCATCATCAACACCATCTCACCATCGCACCACCATCACACCACCACCTTCGCCATCACCATCATCATCACTATTCCTTAAACATGTCTAGCCGTCGTCGTTACCGTCCAATTCATCATCCTTTAAGATCGTCCTCCTCCGCCTCCCTTGCCATCCTCCTCATCAGCAGACTCAGTACCGCATATTATTTTCATGGCCAACTTCAGCACCAAAACACCCATCCATCTTATATCGGTCCATCCAACCACGCATCCATCCATCAAACCTCATCCTCCACCCTCTTTCTCCTCGTTCATCAACCCGCCTCCTGATTACCATCATGGTTCCCAACATCCAACCACATTCACGCCATCCTCCAGCCACATACTAGCTCATCGGCATCATCCACATCATCATCACCAATTGGCATCATCGTCGTCGATAACATCAACACCATCACCAGCGCCATCACCACCACCACCATCAAAAACATGACCACCGCCGCCACCTTCGTCTTCACCATCCACAATAGCAACGTTCCGAGCAACATCATCATGATCAGCATCGCCACTTGACTTATACTCCCCATTCCCAATACCAACACCATCATCGACATCATCCTCGCAACCATCGTCATCATCAGCCTCGGCATCATCACCGTAACCTTCACCATTATCATCTCCATCGTCATCGTCGTTATCATAACCGTAACCGTTTCTGGACCACACTCCCTGCCTCCTCCTCCGACCGCCTCCGTCATCCTCTCCTCTGCCCCGCCCGTCGTCCCGAAGACGACACAAACCACAGACCAACACCCGGGGCTGGGAGCGAGTGGGGACACCGCTCCGAAGTAAAACGTGTGTCCAGATTCGACGCAAAACGCACGCTCATCGTCCCTCCCTCCAACCTCGCGCGCAATCGGGCTGCGCAGCAGGTGCATCCCCTCTCGCCGAGCGACACTTGGCGCCACAGCCTCGCCCGCACGACGGGCACGAAAACGAGGGCCTCCCTCCTCTCGAGAGGCCTGGAAAAGCGGGCACGTCTGACCACCCTCCCTCCAGCCTCCCTCCTTCGGCATCCTCCAGGCCTCCGCCGCCGCCCCCAACGCCGCCGTCCGCCGCCAGCGCCGCCGGTCGCCGCGCGCCGGCACCCGGGGGGCACCGTCGCCGCCGCCGCCGCCGCCGTCACCGCCGCCGTCCGCCGTCACCGCCCACGTCCGCCGGGCGCGGGCGGGCCATCGGCGGAGCCGACGCCGCCGTCGCCGCCGACGTCCGCGAGGGCGCGGGCAGCCCTCGGTCGCCGCCGCCGCCGCCGCCGCCCTCGGCGCCCGCGGGGCGCGGGCAGAGCGGCGGGCGGGCGCGGGGCGAGCGGGGCCTTCGCGGCGGCGGGCCGCCGCTGCTCTTCGGCGCCGCGGCGGCCTCTGCCGGCCTGCGCAGCCCCCTCGCGCGGAGCGCGCGCGCGCGGCAGAGCTCCCGCATGCGCTCCGACGGCGGGCCGGCGGCTGGCCGCTGGGAGGGGTGTGTGGGGGGGCGACGGGGCGGGGCAAGAGGGAAAAACACAGGAGGGGGGGAGGAGGAGGGAGGAGGAGGAGGAGGAGGAGGAGGAGGAGGAGGAGGAGGAGGGAGGAGGAGGAGGAGGAGGAGGAGGAGGAGGAGGAGGAGGAGGAGGAGGAGGAGGGGGAGGAGGAGGAGGAGGGAGGAGGGGGAGGAAGAAGAAGAGGACGAGGAGGAGGAGGAGAATAGGGAGGAGGGGGAGGAGGAGGAAGAAGAAGAGGACGAGGAGGAGGAGGAGGAGAATAGGGAGGAGGGGGAGGGGGAGAAAGGAGAGGACGGGAAGGAACGGAAAAAGGATGAGGAGGATCAGATGGGGGATGACGAGGAGGGGGAGGGAGAGGGGGAGAGGGGCACCTCCCAATTTTATCCTGTACGGGGTGAAATAGGAGAGAGGAAGTAAAGAAATCAATGCTGGCACCGACCAGCATCAGAGGAACATCGTACTCCGTAGAGGGATGGGGCTCAGTATAAACACGTCGGTATGATCTGTCTTGGAAGGTCTGATTCCACGTGCAAGGGCCACGTGCGTGCGAAGCCTTCCAAATGCGGAGTCTTTCAAACAACCGCAAGGTGAGCATGGCCTCCTGTGGCGTA